CGGGCTGTAATCTCCGCGCCCTCAGTCGGGCCCTCCTTTGCCTCTGGCCTGTCGGGTGTTTCTCTGGGCCCCTCCGGTCTCTCCCCCTCCCTCTTTTTTAATTTGAAGCATCCGTCTGGAGCATCCTGAGCCGGGGACGTCCGCCGAGCCGCATGCATTAAGCCGCGACGGCTCTATTGATTTTCTCTCCAGCACTGCATAATGCAAGATATATACAGCCGGTGGGCTGGCCCCTGTCCCTTACTTTGAAGGGACTGTGCCCTTTTTCTTTCTCACTCTCATGTCCCCTCACCCTGGCACATGTTGATGTATAGGAGGGGAGCCTGTCCCTTACGCTGAAGATAGATTCTCCTCGGCCCCGTATTACTCTCCTCGCCGCGGGGGGACGAGGTCTAATCTATCCTTTTTACGGGAGCAGATTGGACACGGGGAAAGCGGCTGGTGGAGTGAGAGGGGCCCGTGCGGGGAGGCAGGTGGCTGGGGAGGTGTCATCGATCAAGACCCACTCTGTCCCCCGGGGGGAAGGCAGCCACTTTCCCAGGTGGCCCCTGCCTGCGGGCCACGGCTGGGCAGGGGAGGGTGCTGGCCACCGCAGCCTGCCCCCTCCTCCAGCCCTGGCCTTGGCCTCGCATCCTGTCACCCCCGCCCCCCGCAGAGCCACAGAGCTGCTGCCAGGCTCACGGTCCTCTGTCCCTCACGTCCTCTGGTTCTCAGAGGCAGGGCAGCTGAGACAGGTGTGGAGGCCACCTACGATGGGGACGTGGGCTGGTCTGGGGACGAATGAATCCCCCTCCTCGACTGGAACAAAGGCCAGAGACCAGAGGAGCTTCAGGAACCCCAGCTGGACACAGAACGTGAACCCAAGACTATCCCCCTCCAGTGCTGGACCCCTGGGCCACACCAGCTCCTCCGGAAGACCACCTGGACTAGAGCCAGCTCATCTGAAGGCCCCGACTCTTGTCGCCCTGGAACGTATTGTTTGCACGCTCTGGCTGGTGGCTCTGACCCCCACAGCCCCTCCGGCCCCACAGTGAGAAGCGCTGCCCACAGGTGGCCCGGCCTGTCACTGCTTCCCCTGCAAGTCTGCGAGTCCCCTGAGATGGCAACAGAGATGGCGACGGGATCTAATTTCTGCATCTTCACCTGCTCAGAGCCTGGCCCTAAACTGGAGCCCCACAAAGATGTCCAGAATGGACGTAGCTGTGGCTGAGAAGGTGCCCAGCCTGGGCCCTGGCCGGCAGGGGAGCAGGAGAGCAGGCCCCGCCGCCCTCCGACTGGGTCTCTGAGCTGGGGTGGGGTGCTGCTCTCCCAGGGGCACCAGGCACCGGGCAGTGGGCTCAGGGCCTCTCCTCCCTCCTCCCACCCATGCTGTCCCCACCTGGACACCAGCCTTCCCACCGGGAAAGGTCCCAGCTGAGGACAGAAGCCTCCAGGGTCGGGGTGAGGCTCCTGGCCTCTGGACATTGGCCAGGGGTAACTGACAGGCCTCCTGGAGATTAAATGAGATGGTAGATATGAAAGCACCCCACCTCTCTCTGTGTACTGGGACTGAATCCAGGACGCTCTCCCACTGAGCTACATCTCCAGTCCTTTTTATTTTAAAACAAACTCTCACTAAGTTGCTGAGGCTGGCCTCAAATTTGCAATCCTCCTGCCGCAGCCTCCCAAGCTACTGGGATTACAGGCATGTGCCACTGTGACTGGTGACCTTGGCTTTTCTGTGATGTGCCAACTGGAGCCTCATAGCAGTCCTGTGAGGAAGAACAGAGAGGCAGTACACACTCACACACACACACACACACACACTCACATACACACACACCTTTCAGAACCAGGAAGCGGGGCTGGGGAGTTTGCCTCTAGTGGGAGAAGGTGTGGAGCTGGACCCCAGATGCTGACAAGGGTTCACTGTCCCTGGAGGGGGAACTCCAGCCCCACACCCCCCGGCCTCTGCTCCCCCTGCCCACCCTCAGACCCCTGCCTCTGCTCCCACAGGCAGAACTTCCCCCCGTTCCAGATGCACCTGCACTCAGCTGGTGGGGTGAGTGTCGGGTCCCTCTGTCCTTCCACCTGGAAGCCCTCCACCACCCACTTCTGGCAAATTCCTGTTCCCCCCACAGAGGCCAGCTCCATGTCACCGCCTCCACGCAGCCTTCCAGGAGGCCTCCAGGAGCAGGGGCCCGGCTGGCCTCTGGGCATCGTGTCCAGCTTGCTGGGGGGGCCACAGCCGCCTGTGCTCGTTCAGAGCCTCCTCCTGCTTCTTCCTGGGCCGCGGTGCCCGGCACAGAGCGGGACCCGTTAACGGGAGCCACAGTAGTGGGACCAACAGAATTAGAGGAAAGCCCAGAGGCCAGGAGGACGTCACAGTCCGCTCTGCTCATGCGATGTCTGCAACTACCTCTCTGCCCACCTGCGAGTGGGCACTCGTGTTTTGACCAATTCTGGTGCCTTCAAAACTGGAGGGAGAAATCTAAGCCAATTGGCCTTCCCGGGGCTGCAGGGTGGTGCCTGCTGGGGGGCAGGGGAGGGGTGTGTCCCCCTGGACCCTGCTCTGTCCCCCGCACACCCCTCCAGGGCAGCCCCTGAGCCCAGCAGACCAACAGAGGGAAGCAGGTGGCCAGGATGGAGCTCACCCACTGACCCAGGCCGTCAGGCAGCTCCAGTCTCCGGCCCTGCGTCCACGGCCCTGGTTGAGACTCTCCTTTCTTGCCCCTCAAATGTGGGAGACACTCTGGTCACGGGGTTGGTCACTCTGAGGGTGAGCAGCCCAGCAGAGTGGACTGGCCCTCTCTCAAGCCCGGGGCTCTCATCTGCAGGACCCACTGGAGCCCTGTAGCTCCCCGTGTGTGGGAATCAGGGAAGCCCACGGCCCGGGCAGCGCCAGGGCCCCATTCACAGAGGCGCGGGGCGGGGCGGGGGTTGGTGGAGGCCAGGGCTGGGCCCCTCCTTTCCCAGCTCCAAGTTGTGTCCTGACACTCGGGCTCCTCCACTCTGGAGCCGGGAAGCGCTCCCTCGGGGCCCCTGCTTCAGCTCTCCTCCGCTGCCGTTTATGTGGTCTCCCTGAGGAGCCAGAGGAGACCTGGGCACTTGAACAAATTCGCCTTTGTGTTCCTTGCTGCACGTCCGTGTTCTCTTAAACGGCTCAGCTCGAGTGGGTGAACATCTGTCTCTCTGGGATCGCTGCCAAAAAGGAGAAGCAGCCCCTCCTCCTGTTCCCCTCTCTCTCCCCGTTGGTCCTGCACAGACGGGAGAAACCCCGGTCATTCAGTCAACAACATGTCTGAGCACCTACTATGTGCCAGGCCCTGCTTTGAGAATATCAGTCCCTCTCTCCACGCCTCCCCCCCCCACACACACACACACAGTCAGTCATAGAGTAAGCGCTCTCAGAGGCCAGCCTGAGAATCCTCCAGGTCGGTATCCGGCGTCTGCTACACGCGTGAGTGCTGCTTTAGACAGAATGCCCACCCCTGCCCTCGCCCTCAAAGAAACACCAGTGCAAATGTATGACAAGCTCAATGCGCAGTCCATCAACCGTCAACCGCAATGAGTGACAGGTGACAGTGACGGCAGTCAGAGGTGAAGGGCTCCGACGAGGGCAGAGAGGCAGAGATGGGCTGCAGACACAAGGTGGGTGGTATCAGAGCAGGACAGGGCGCACGTCAATGCCTGCGGGTCAGAAAGGCCCGGCAAGTTGAGGCCCTTGGTTTGGCTGAAAGGGGCAGCTGTTGGGGAGGGACGAGTGGTAGAAGAGATTAGCATCTACCAGGACGGAGGATGCTGGCCAAGTCGGGCTGAGAAATGTGTGGCCGTCCTCGGGTCAGGGCTGAAGAACCCACGGTTCTGATCCCATCTGGGCCTCCAAACACTGAAACCAAGTGCCCATCAACCAGCTTTTCCCCGGGTTACACCCAGACACACTCTGCGTGGCAGAAACACCGTCTGGCTCCTTTGAAAGTGCAATCAGAATAGTTGGCCATCTCTCTGCAGCAAGGACCACTGGTCTACCTTTCCCGGTGTGGCCAGCACCCCTAGGCAGGGCTCACCCTGGGCCTGTTCATCAGAAGGGAGGGTGGGGGCGAGAGGGGAGAAGCTCAAGTCCAGATCAAGTTCCTAGCAAAGGGCAGTTTCTCCCGGAGAAGGCGGTAATGAGCACAAGGCGATTACATTCTGCTGAGTGGTCATTAAATTGGGGGAAACAAAATATAATAAAATGTGGACATTTGCAGAGAGGTTGAAAATAAAGTAAAAGTAGAACATAGAAATAAAACCAATAACCAGAGCCTATCTTATGGGGGTGGGGAGATCTGCATGTTCTGGAGCCTTCTGAAGAGGTGGTGGTGGGGATGGGAACTGGGCTGGGGAATCTGGCCAGGAAGCCTCAGGTAGCAACGAAGCCACCTGTCACACTGCGATGTGTGTGTGTGTGGGGGGGGGGGTGTTGTAACTTCAACTACTGAAAGTAGTAGCTTCTTTTTTGTGTACACCGATTCATAAAGGAATGGGAACCAGTGAATGGGAAGGCACCACTGGCTGGACGACAGCAGGTGTCCCCCAAAGAGACATGATGGAAAAGTGAGAATCCCCAACAAGAGGCGCTCAAGGTACACAGAATAAATTAGGAAAGAATTCTCTGCATGTACGGCCAATGCACAGGTCTAACGACTCTCAGATAAAACCCAGGAAAGCCAAGCTGGGGTGTGGGGGACTTTGGGGTAAGAAGGTGGAGTGGAAGGTGAAGGGTGAGAAAGGAACGAATGTGGAGGACAGAGGAGGAGGAAGGCAGGAGGTCTGGTCGGCAGCCAGGGCGGTCCGTTACTTTAGGGAGCTGCACTACTAACCTAAACCAGAAGGGGGCACGGCTGCTGAAATTGAAAGGGCGCGCGCATAATTCTTGATCCTTTGCAGACACCGTACGACGTTTCCTGCGTTGGGAGGGTTTAACTGCCCGGAAACGGAAGGCTCGCTCTTTTCCGTTCCCTTCGGTTCTCGGCGTTGGTTGTAAGTGTCTCCGCCTGTCCGCGGGGAGAGGTGGTAATCCGGGGCAATCCGCAGCCGGGTGGACTGTGGGGACCCCAGGCTTGCGCCCAGGGTGCGGGAGGGGAAGGCGGGAGTGTGCTGGAGCCGGTATGTCGGGTTGGGAGTGGAAGCTGGGGTCACGACCCGCGCCCCGTTAACGCCGAACACTGTCCCTTGCAGGTGCCGGTCCTCGCCGTCCGCGTGCCTCGTCGCCATGGTGAGTACGACCCCTGCCGGGCACCTTCCCGGGAGGCGCGCGGGGACTCGGGGCGAGGGTGAGAGGGTCTTTCCGAGGCTCTCGGAGGCCGAGGGCTGGTGGGCTTGACCGTCCCCGTAGAGGGTGTCGCTGCCGCTGATGCTCCGTCCCCGTGTATTGCAGCCCCGGAAAATTGAGGAAATCAAAGACTTCCTGCTCACCGCCAGGAGAAAGGACGCCAAATGTAAGTGCGGCGAACGGCCGGGCGGTGGGCCCCGCGAGCGCTGGCCGGGTGGGACCTAGAGCGGGGACTGGCGATGCACGCTGTGACCCCAGGGGCAGGGCAAGTTCGAGGCCAGCCTCAGCAACTCAGCCAGACCCTGGCTCAGAAGGAAAGGAAAGCCTGGGGATGCAGCTCGGGGGTAGAGAATCCCCGGGTTCGATCCCCACTTGTTTTATTGTGTGTGGAGGAGGATTTCTGAGTAGAATCCTTACCCCACAAAAATTCTGGGCTTCTGCAAACACCGAGTTCAGTGTTAGGTATCCTGTTGGGGTCCTACTGTGGGCCACACACACTTCCACTATTAAGTAGGCAGGCATCTATCGGTGTCCCTTCTACAGCTTGTAAGTAAAGGGATAGAGGTGATGGGTCGAAATCATTAAAAAGCACATTTCATCAGGCACCCTGGCACATGCCTGGGATCCCAGCAACTCAGGGGGGCTGAGGCAGGAAGATGCAAGTTCAAAACCAGCCCTGTCTATAAATAAAATACTTTTAAGGGCTGGGGATGTGGCTCAGTGGTTACATGACCCTGGGTTCAATTCCTGGTACCAAAGGGGAGCGGTGCAGGATTTCAGCTGCGGAGCTCCTGCTGCCTTCTCTGTTTGCCCTGTACTTGGGGGTGGGGCACTTGGGTATCTCTTTCTTATAGTTCAAGGTCGTTTGGGGATATGTGTCTAACACAAGATAGATCTTGAATTTTTTTACCTTTTGTTACTTTAACCTGGGGTCTTTTTTTTTTTTTTTTCCCCTGCCACATGAAAAACCCCAGAAGACAAAACTTCCTTTTCCTCTCACAGATTTGTCTTAGGAAGAGCCAGGTGCTTGTGGCAGTAGAACAGGGTTGGGCTGGTGTGTTAAGGTGAACTGAGCACAGGCATCTGTAAGGCTGTCAGTGGTGGGACCAAGATGGTGGCTGGGAGATGGGGAGGGACCGACATGCTTGTGTATCCATTACCCAAAACAGCCTGTCCCCTTTCATCCTCTGTTACTGTGAGCTGGTGATGCCTATGGGAGCAAGTATCTGGTGGGAAGGATGCCTCCCTGCCCCTGATGGGGGCAGCAGGTGATGGAGTGCTTGTTGTGCACACGGTCATGCTATAGAGAATCTATTATCTGGTCAGTTTTAGATCTAACCATGCAGTTTATCACTGTTCTGACAAGTTTAACACAAGGCCACCTTCTCTTTAAAGTGGGTGGCAGTAGGACTCTGAGTTTCTGTCTCTCAAGATTGGCTTATGGATCCAAATTGGATGGCCTATTAATATTAAGTTTCTTAACAGGGACTCTAATACCAAATACATTGGATTTATTTAGGGATGTGTTTGGAAACCTGAACTTAGATGGGGGTCATGATGAATAAACCAATTTTTTAAATTATGGTAAAGTACACATAAAGTTTGTGCTCTTCATTATTTTTAGATTGTATGCAGTGTATTGGCATAAGCACAGCATCCAGAGCTCTCTTCATCTAACACCTACTCCTCATGCCTTCAGGCCCTTGGCCACCACCCTTCTTTTCTGTCCCTGGTTTTGGCTACTCTTGCTGTCTTGTATTAGTAGAACCTTTTGGTTTTTGATTGGCTTATTTAACTGAGCATAGTGTCCTTATGATTCATCTGTGTTGTATGTCAGATTGTCCTGTTTCAAGGCTAAATTTCCTACTATGCACACATCACATCTTCATCCCTGCTCATCTGTTGCTGGGCTTTGCTTTGCTGGCACATTTTGGCTGTAGTGAACAATGCTGCTGTGAACATGTGTGCGAATATTTCTTGTTTTTATGTCTTTTGGATATGTACCCAGAAGTGGAATTGCTGCATCAGTTGTTTAGTGTGGTAATGCTAAAATAACATTTTTAAGAGATCATGTGCCTTCAGTGGTGTTCAGCTAACCTTGGTGGTTTGTGCCTGTACTCCCAGCAGTTTGGGAGGCTAAGGTAGAAGGATTGGGAGTTGGAGGCCAGCCTAAGCAGCTTGGCAAGACCCTGTCACGAGACTGGGGGATGTGACTCAGTGGTTAAGTACCTCTGGGTTCAGTCCCCAGGACCAAAAATAATCAACAAATAAATTAATAAGTAAAAAGAAATGGTGTTCCACTTGGGTTTCAGGAGTGAAGCCGCGGCAGGGCAGTGCAGGGTACTTCATGTGGGCATGCTGAAATAGGATCGGGCGCTTGAATGAGCATCTAGGCACCTGGCTTTGTTACAAGGATGAGCCAAGGCAACCAACCAGTGCCTCAGGCAGGCTCTGAGCCAGGTGCTTCTGCTTCCTTGAGGGGCCCCTTTAGCAATTATTGGCAGAAATGGAGTCGTAGGAGTAGGAGTGCAAGTTAATCTTGTGCTACTTCTGTGAGGCCAAGTGCTGTGTGCTTTTGTCTGGTGAGGTACTTGGGTTGAAGCAATAGGCACTTCACTGCTTTTGTAACAGAGTTGTTGGAAGTGTGTGAGTGGCTTTTAAGGAAGCTGGAACAAGGGATTTGACAAGTGCGTGAAATGGCTAACTTTCTCCCGGGAAGCTGTTCTCTTCCAGTAGCCAGATGGATGGAAATGTGTTGACCTAACACAGACTCTACCTAACCAGACTCTGCCCCTTTGAATTTGAGGTGCATTTGAGGCTCTTGTCTAATCTGTGATCCCTACAGGTGTGATCAGAGCCCTGTCCCTGCAGTCCCCAGCATCCACCCAGAAAACAGGGACCACATACATTTTAGGAGATGAGTGGGCTGGGATATCCTGAAGGAGAAGCTGCATGTTAATGCCTGCAGAGAGTAGTTTGTTTTTTTTTTTTGTTTTGTTTTGTTTTCTTCCAAGTAATGATAAATTAGGTCAGTATAGAATGTTCTACAATGTTGTGTTCACTGTACCAAAAAACCTGTTTTAAACATAAATCAATGAGTTGAAATTGAGAGAGGCCCAGGCTTGTAAGTGTTAATAGGGGGAAATGTAGGTTTCCGACACCATATTTTGATCTTGAAGGCAAAGGGACAGTACAGGGGGTGGGCGCATACTTGGCCCTTGCAGTGGCACTGACTGGCCGGTTGCAGTCCCTAGTGCCTCTTGCACAAACGGTGAGGCATCTGTTTTCTGTGACATGATTTAATGACATATTCTGCTCTGCTTGGTAGCTGTCAAGATCAAGAAAAACAAGGATAATGTGAAGTTTAAAGTTCGATGCAGCAGGTACCTTTACACCTTGGTCATCACAGACAAGGAGAAGGCAGAGAAGCTGAAGCAGTCCCTGCCCCCAGGTGAGTTAGGCCGCCCACAGTGTGGGGGGTCCTGGTTTACCCTTGTGTGGTTTGGGTGTCTGCGCTTGCTGCTGGTAGTGCGGGGAGGAGTCGCGATCTGCAGTTAGACCCAGTGCTGGAGTGGAGTCCTTGGGTAAAGGAAGTGCACGGCTCGATCCTCACAGCCCTCCACACTGGCTGCTGTACTGACCCCCACTTTGCAGGGAGAACAATCAGTTAAATCTAATGGACCAAGTTTTGAGTGGAATGTTTTTATCGAATACTAGCTTGATTTTAATCCAAACCTTCTTTATGAGCCCTAGGTGGAGTACAAAATCAGGATGGCAATAACACAAAAATGACTTGCTTTTGGTTTGTCTTTCCCTCTAGGTTTGGCAGTGAAGGAACTGAAATGAATCAGGCAGGCCGATTTGAACTGCATTAAAGTGTTTACAAAGCCTTATGTGTCCTTTGTCTTTGAAGCTGGGGAAGAGGTGCTGCTGGGTGGTGCCATCTGCTGGGGATGGGTGATGGATCCTGCTTGCCACCTCCTTGTCTCCCAAGTCTAGGGCTGGGATCTCAGTAGACAAATAAGGCCAGACTTCTGTTTGGCCTGTTTGAGACATAGTAGAGGTAGGTAGGCTCTGCCTCGGGGGTAGGGCACCTGCCTAGCGTGTGCAAGGACCTGGGTCCCATCCCAAGCACCACAAGACAGGGCTATCGGGAAGCCCCCATGGGAAGAGGAAGAAGAGCTGGGCATCTGTGTGAGTCACCGTCTGCGTTTGGGACTTAGAGTGGGTTAGGTAGAATGGGTTTCCTTCTGACCAAAGTGAAAGGGAGGTGTTGCTGAGCACAAAGGTAGCCTAAGATTTTTTTCAGCGTGACTTACGTGACGGAGTGGGATTGAAAGTGAGATGATTGCAGAAAACAGAATTATGCTAGCCTAGCATGAGGCGGCAGGACTTGGAGTGACATTTCAGAGGAAGGAGTGGTTCTTCCAGAGGTCTGAGCTGGGCCCTCCAGCCTTGGAGAGAAGCCCGGACAGTGATGGGCTTTCACTGGTCTGGAAGGAGGTGAATCTGACCTGCGAGGGCCAGCCAGGCTCGTTCCTTGGCTATTAGAACTTTGTCCTGCCACTTCTGACTGTTTCCTGAAATGAAAGTAACCACATTGATACCTTTCCTTGTCACTGGCTTACTCAGTGAAATGGGCTAATGTGTGCAAGTTTTTGAACTTCCAACACTGGGAACATTGAGTCATGTTGAGGTGGGCCACAAGGTGGCGCCATACCACCACAAATGAACAGTAGCTGGTAGATCCTTCCTGAGATGATTTTCCATCTCTTTAAAAAGTGTATTTGGTATTGCACTTTAAGTGCTTAAGCAGGTTGTGACACCAAGCACCAATCTTTTTGTAAGAACTCTTGGGTCTCATGAATTCATTGAAAGGCGTGAGTTTTGTTTACTCCAGGAGAGGGTGGCACAGGGAGCCCTGGGTTGTTGACAGACCCAGAGGTGGCTCTGTCAGCAGCTTTCAGTCTTTCCCATTCTTTAAACATTTAGGATTCCCAAGGGGGAGTGAGTTACCACTTAGGCTTTCTTTGTCCCCAGCACATTATCCAGAGACTTGTCCCCGCTCCTAGGAGACGAACCCTGCAGGGATTTGTCTGGCCGCCTGGTCCAGAGAAGGCATCCTTTCATGCGGCACTTCCTACCCTGGCTTGTGCTATGGTCACTTGGGGTGCTTCACCCAAGTGACCAGGGTTAACACCAGTCAGGGTTGCCACTGCTTTGTGAGGCTGCGGCTAACTCGGCTGTAGAAAGCACCTGGAGGCTGCTGGTTCAGGTGGGATGGGGGAGCTATTCCTTCTGGAACCCTGGGAGGTCTATTCTTGTTGGGCCTCTGCTTCCTGGCCTCCCCTCTAGGTCAGTGGGCCTTGGGGGAAGCAGCTGGAAGGCTCGCTGTCTTACTGGCTGAAGATCAATCTGGGCGTTGGTATTCCAAGCACCACTCAGCTGTGGCCATCTCCCAGGGAGAGCCTGCAGCTCACCTACCCAGTGCCCTACACCCTACCCGTCCTCTACCAGCTTCCTCTTGACCCGGGCCCTACTCTGGGGTCCCCTGCACCAGGTCCAGAGTCAGATCTTCAGGTGAACACCAGGACCTGAGTGGAAGATAGACGCCTCCTGTTTGTCATCCCATGATTTGCCCTCCTTCCCTAAGGCACTACAGTGATCACAGCTGGGACTTTATTTTTTCCAAGAAGGACACCTTTTGACATTCAGGGTGCTGAGCAGCTTTAGCTGTGGGTGCCATTGGACTGGAGAAGGAGGACAGGTAGGAAGGTATACCAGGCACCCAGCAGTGCCTCTCCCAGGTTGCAGGGGACATGGGCTGTGGCTGCGTAAATCATGTCCACATTCAGGGAGTGCCCACGGAGGGCGTGAGCTATAAAATGCCCCTGGTAACTTGCTTCGTGTCCATCTTTCTCAGCAACCAGCCGTGGCTGCGGGGCTGTGTGTGACATGGCCATTCTTGCCACTCAGAAGCCTCCCCAAGGACACCCCAGTTAACTCATACACCAACTCCTCCCACTCTGGCTCTGCAAGAAACCTCCCAGCAGCAACTCCGTCCTCCCTCCTCATCCCAACACCGGGCTCTTCAAACCCGCCTCGCCGCCCTCTCTAGACTAAACACCATGTAGACCAGATGTGTGTGCTTTATTAATCACTAGAACCCCTAGAACAAGGAAGGTGTCCTACAAAATGTGCAGCACTCATGAAAGAAACCCCTAGGAGAGAACAAAGTGTTCCCCAGCCTCCTGCTCCCCTCTGGCCTCAGCTGTGGGCATGTGTAGGCAAGATGGCAGCCGCCAGGCTCCAGCTGGCCCAGAGGAGAGGCCCCAGGGGCAGGGCAGGATAGGGCTTGCTCTTTTGGCCCCAGGATCTTTGATAGAACAGGCAATGGCTGTACGCTGGCCCCACTAGCAGTCATGCAGGCCCCAAGATGGAAACCTGGGAGTCCCTCGTGTTCCCTTGAGTCCCCTTTCTCACCCATGCGCTAACCACCCTCAGGCTGGCTGCCCAGAGCTCCCTCCCACCAAGCCCCAACCCAGCACAACCCTTTTCACCACCCACGACCTCTACAAGCCCTTCCCTGCCCCTCACCTGCCTCCAGCCCGAGCTCAACCATATTCTCTGTCTACTGGAGGAAACCTAAACCCCCGCTGGATCTAGAAGACCCCTAGGTGGAGGAGGGGCGGTAAGGCCTCCCTCACTCCACTGCCCCCAGACTTGCTCACAAGCCGTTTGTACTCGCAGGCTGGGTGCTCTTTAAGTGTGCAAAGGCGTGAGGACCAAGGGCCCACAGGGCTTTGCTGAGGATGGCTGCCCCACCCTGTTCCAGTTTTCCCCCAAGCACCTTTTAAGACAAATGTCTTCCTGGGCATACAGTGGTCCACACAGAAGGACACACTGCAGTGGCTTCCGGCTGCTTTGCTCACTGATGGAGCCATGCCTGGCACCTGGTAAGTCTAAGTGCTGCCGAACGCGCTTCATCCCTCCCTGGGCTCCCATGGCCCCTTCACTTCCCTCTAGACAGCCCAACGTTACCCGGCTCTGGAAGCCGGCCTGACCCTTCTGCTAGGAGGAATCAAAACTTCTCAGTCCACCAGACACCTCTACCTCACTCAGGGCCTGCTGCTCGGGCAGTCTGTGCGGAGCTGGAGGGCAGGGACCGACCGAGTCATTTCTCCGAGTGGACATGGTTTACACTACAGATGGGCCAATATATGATTGAGAGTGAATTTAAAACGAGTGACCCAGGGTTGGGTCCTTTTGCCCCCAATAGCAGTTTACCCACCCGGATAAAGCCCTTGGAACCGCGAGCCAGCTCTCGGGCTGTGACTTCGAGCTGCACTGCACAGCTCACACTGATTCGATGTTCAGTCACTAGTAAGAGACGCGGAGACCGAGACTGAAACGCACTTCTTCCACCTCTTGCACCGTCGGGGCAAGACGATGCCAGCCCAGAGGGCACAGCAGGCTTTTGGGCTCCCCAGGATTGAGCCGAGATTGGGTTCAGGCCGGGGCGGGGTCTGGGCGGGTCCGGGGCGGGGCCTAGGCCGCGGCGGGGCGGGGTCGACGCGGGTCCCGGGCCGGGTGGCGGAGGCAGAGGCGGCTGCGGCGCGCCGGCTGCACTCGGGCCGAGCCATGCCGGCGGCGCGCGTGGAGTACATCGCGCCCTGGTGGGTCGTGTGGCTGCACAGCGTCCCGCGCTTCGGTCTGCGCCTGCAGCCGGTGGACAGCACCTTCAGCCCGCGCGATGAGAGTTACCAGGAGGTGAGCGCGCGCCAGACCTGAGCCACCGCGGACCCCCGGAGCCGGCCCGCGCGCGCTCAAGTCCCCGCACCACCCTGCTCCTCTCCGCAGCCCGCGCTCTCCACCGCCTCCCAGACCCCTTCCTCCGCCGCAGCCCCTTCCTTCTCCCATCGCTCCCCTTCTCCTCCAGGACCCTTGGCCCTGCGGCCTCCTCGGGCTGGGACCCTCGGGGTTCAGGGAAAGCGGCGAGATCGGAGTTAAGCCGGAGCCGGGAGGGGAGGACCGGCGCGGAGACTGCCTGCGGGAGGCGGGCGCTGGGCGCCGAGGGGCCGGGCAGCTCGGGTGGGGGCTGGGGCGTTCGTGACCGGGCAGCTCTGGCTCTGGAGGGGCGGGGATGTCGCGCGGCGCCCCGAAGTTCCCCTTGTGAGGTTCCAAGACCGGATGCTGCCTTCCCCAGGATAGCCTGGGGGAAGTTTGGGCAGAAACTGAGTTGAGGCTCCGGAGTCCGCAGCGCCCCTCCTCCCCACCCCGCCTGCCGGGTGGGAGCCGCTGCCGGGACCTCTCTCTGGGCCCCTTCTGCAAGGCTGCAGGGCTGGGGGAGGCGGCGTGGTGACCTCCCTCTCGCGCGCCGGAGCCCACGGCCGCTTGTGTTTGTTTCAGGGAGGAAGGTCGTCCCGGATCAGCCCCACCGCGCACCATCGTCCCCTGGTGTTGACAGCCAACCCCCTCCCTTTGTCCTCGCCTGCGCTGCCCCATCCCTGGCTCGTCCCCCACCCGCATGCCTTCCAGGCTCTGAAATTCTGGGGTCTCCTGCTCCTGGCCCGCCACTCCCCTGTCCTGGCACTTCTGCCTTTCCCTGCCCTGCCCACCCTTCCCTCCGCCCTTTCTGCACCCCACAGACAGAGCCCGGCCTGCCGGACCCTTGTCCAAACGGAAGTGCAGCCCCCGGCTCCGTCTCAGGTGTGCTCCAGGCCAGCCCGGCCCTGTGGCCCTGCTGACTCAGTTCCTTGGTTGGGTAGAGATGCCGGGGCGGGGCAGTGAGTGGGGAAGAGGCGTTAGTCCAGTGCTCTGGCAGGTGGGAGGACTTTGACCCCTCGGCCTCGCCTGGGGTGTCATGGGTGATTCCCCAACCCCTCCCCCCACGCTGTGGGGGGCCTTTCTGGAGGCTGTCCCCTGAGGCCCCTGTCTGCTCCTCCCCTTCCAGGGCTGCCTCCTTAGGGCCCAGGGGATCCTGAAGCCTAAGAAGGACAGTGACCAGGAGTCTAATAATAACCCCTAGTGGCCTCGCTGCCTTTGGGCCCAGGCAGTTGGTGCCAGTCCTTCTGGAGGAGGGGAGAATCCACCTTCCTGCCATGGAGGACGCAGGAGGCAGTTCAGGGGGCGTGCCTGCCCCTGCCTCTCCCTGCGCCCTGCCAGGGCAAGGGCCTGGAGCGCTGCCTGGACTAGCTCGGGGCTCCCCGACTCCCACCAGGGCGTCAGGAAGCCGATATGATTTCAGGAACAGCTGTGTTGTTGGGGGGGGGGCGCCCCAGATCCTGTTCCCGGGTCCCCATCATGTTTTTCTGTCCATTGGAGGAAATCTAAGCCCCCAGCTGGATCAAGAAGACCCCTGGGTGGAGGAGGGGTGGTGAGGCCCCCTCTGGCCGCTCCCGGACAGCAGCACCTGTCTTGCCAGCAGCTGGGCCGAGGGGCCTGTGCCTGCCCCACCCGCCCTCGGTCCCATGGACTGTGGGTAGCTGAGCTGGAGGGACCATTTATGGTCCCTGCCCCTCTCTACGCCCAGCGTCCTGCCCCAGACACCCTTTGTGCTGGGCTTCAGAGGGCACCCCTTCCGTGGCCACTGCTCCTCCTATTTTGTAAGTCCCTCTGTTTTCTGACCACTGGTCTTTCCTTTTCTCCTGAGCACCAGAGGCAGCCGGTCAGTTCACAGCATGAATTGGGCGGCTTCTGCGGTAGGTCATCTCAGTCCTCAAGGCCACCTGCTCTGCCAAGCCTGGGTGACTGTGATAACCGAGGCAGCCAGAGTAACTCTGGACAGTTGCTGAGGGCTCTCTGGGGCGGGCCTTTACAGCGTCAGCAGCCAAGTAGTTTGGCCCTCCCTCTGGGGGTGTTGGACTCCACTTCTCTCACTGTGTGACCCTGGGCAGGTTTCTTACCCTCTCTGAGACTTGCCTCCCTCATCTACAAGTGCTCATGGAAAGTAATGATCATGTAATAGGATGGACGGTCCCTGGCACCTAACAGGACCCAGAGGTAGACGTCACGAGATGATGGGCCTCGGGGTTGCAGCTGTCCAGCCACAGCACCTACAGGAGAGAGAGACCCTGCACTCCTGGAAGCAAAACGCACACAGGGCTTTAGCTCATGCCGCAGGTGTCCAAGCCTGAGGGTCCCTGTGGCTGCATTAAGAACTGGGTGAAGGTGGGCGTGGGCAGTGTGGGTCTCCAGGGAGGCTCTCAGGCGGAGGGACCTTAGAAGAGCAGGTCCCCTGGAAGATCCTGAGCAAGCTCGGTGCACCAGGCTCTGAGGAAGGAGGGGCTCCCGTTCGGTTTTGGGGGAGTGGCAGGAACCCCCAGTTCCCCAGGTGGCTGCCCCTCCCCCCTCGCCTGGGTGAACTTGAATTTGGGTCTTGGGGAAGGGAAGGCCACTTGGGCTGCGCCCACCATGCGGAGGTTGCCCAGCAACGGTGGGGAGAGCCCTCCTCGCCCTGGGGCAGCCCAGACCGAACCTTTGACAGGTGAGAAGGTCTGACAGGTGAGAAGGTCTGACTGGAGACGTCCCCTGGAGGAGCCAGTGAGAGCCCTAGAGTCAGCACGTGTCCACAACCCTGCTCGGGAAGGAGGAGACCCCCTGGCCCAGTGCCCCTCGGGCAGTGTTGGGGACGACAGGAAGGGCACCCGGCCCTAACCCCAGCTGTGTCTCAATGAGTGAGCCACGTCAGTGTCCCGGTCACCATCCACCCAGCGCCCCGCTGGGGGACAGAACTCAGGCTGGTGTCCCCGCCCCACGTCCAGCGCAGGGCAGGCAGAGGCGCCCTGGTCTCCACCTTCTCCCCACTGAGTCCCAAGTGCCAGTCCAGGTCCCTAGGCCTGAGGAGGGTCAGGGTGGGGCTGTCTGGAGAGCTCCAGGAGCCAGCGCAGGCGTCTGAGGAGGGAGGGCGGCCACTGCCCGGCGGAGCAGCTGAGGTGGGAATGAGGAAGGCCATTCACCCTGAACACTGCGTCACCGTCATCAGACAGTCACGCACATGAGCCCCGAGGGGTGGCCTTCCCGTGGGCCTGGGGCTCCCTCTGGGTGCTGCTGACTCCCCTGGCCTCCCCCCAGGAGGGTCACCTCCCCAGCTGTTGCCCCTCCCCCACCCAGGCCAAAGCCCCTGGGGGTCCAGCTGCAGTGTCATGCCACCCAGCTTGGGCCCTGCCCTGTGCCCCCCACTCTGGTTTTCTGACAAACCAGAAATAACTGAAGTGCCTTTGATGTGGGAGAGGCCTGAGCGCTATGTGGAGGCCGTGGGCCTGGCGCTGGGGGGCACGGGGGAGGCACGGGTGGAGTGGGGACTGTCCTCCTTAGCCCTGTCCCCCAGAGCAGGAGGGCCTGGGCCAGCCACAGGGCTCTTCCACCCCCTCCCCTGCCCCTCCCCCCACCCCCTCCCCTGCCCCTCCCCCCACCCCCTGCCCTTAGGGACTGGAGTGTTAATTAGGAGCAGGGAAATAATTGCCTATTAGAGCAGCAGGTGACACCAACTCCCTGCCACCACCTCCCTCCTCTTGCCCTTCCACCTATTGCTCCCTCCCTGCCTGTGCCCCGCCCACTGACCCCCAGCTTCCTGCTCCAGGTCTTGGCCTCCAGCACCCTGGGGGGCTGCGGGTGCACCGCCTACAGGAGCCCTGAGAGCGTTCCCAGGCTTCGCGCCCTTCCCTGGCTGGACGCATTGTCAGGACCCTAATTGAGGCCAGCTGCTGGCTGGAGAGGCCCAGGCTGCAGCCCCGGGGGCTGCCGGAGGTCTGGGCTCCCAGGGGCTCAGGCCAGGGAGGCTGATCAGGCCAGCCAGGCGCGGGGGGCTCTGTGGGTGGGTTTGGAGGAATTGAAGCAGCACCAACCCATACGTCATCTCCACGGCTTCATGGAGGGGGTGCTTCCTTGCACGGTGGGGACACGTGGTCAGCTCAGCAGTGGGACTGTTCAGGAGGCAGCAGGCAGTGGGGCGCATTAGCTGGCTGCATGGGAGGCCTGCCTGGGGGCTGGTGAACTTTTTTTTGTTTTTTAATTATTAGGAATAATTAGGAAGCCAAGCATGGTGCACACGCCTGTAATCCCAGCAGCTTGGGAGGCTGAGGCAGAAGGATCACAAGTTCAAGGCCAGCCTCAGCAACTTAGTGAGGTCCGAAGCAACTGAGCAAGACCCTGTCTCCAAATAAAAGATAAAAAGGGCTGGAGATGTGGCTCAGTGGCTCGGCACTCCTGGGTTCAATCTCTGGTGCCAAGAAAAGCAAATAAAAAGAAATAACTTACAGGAATATGAACAATTAAATGTGCAGCTCAGTGGATTTATTGGTTTTGTGAAATACCATCCTGGTCAAAGTGTGCTCTTGACCCTCCTACAGTCGCTACTGTTCACACCTCTGCTGCTGCCAGTGAGCATCTCTGACCTTGTACTTCATATAAACTGAACATACAGCCTGTGCTGGTTTGTTGCCCTCCTATACATTCCTCTGTGGCATCCATCCACCTTGTGTGTAGCTCCTATTTCCTTTTCATGGCTGCGTACTAGTCCATCTCGTGGCTGTAGCACATGGGCACTATCTTGTTGGTAGACATCGAGGTGGTTTCTCTGTATTAAGCTTCTGTGAACTTTGGTGTATGGATCTTGTGGGAGCATGAGCCCTCCCTTCTGTGAAGTAGAATTGCCTTGGCCTGGGGCTCCAGGGCCTTCCACGAGGGGGTGGACTGGACACTGGAAAACAGGTGACTACCCACTGTCTGAGAGGAACCTCCTGGGGTCACTGCTGGGGACAGTTGTGCTAATGAGTGCCCCCCCCACTTTCTCACCCGAGGGTCGTGGGATGGGGGTGGGGTCTGATGTGCTGCGGCCACTGGTCCTGGCCTCCCAGCTGCCCCCAGGAGGGAAGCCAGAGAGTCCCCAGTGCTCCCCTTGTCCCTGGGGAGCTGAGTCCTGCAGGGCGGAGCAGCTGGACAGGCCCAGGGAAGGGCCGGGGGCTACTGCAGGGGCCCCTACTGCTGTGCTCTGCCCAACCTGGAAATGGCCACAGGCCTCGGGCTGCAGCCGCTAGAGCCACTCTGGGCGTCAGGACCCAGCCTGTGTGTGCCCCAGAGCCCGGCTTGGCCCCCAGACCCCCAGCTCCTGCGGTCTCCCCTGCTGATCGCCACCACCACACCCGGGGGCCCTGGCTCAGGCTCTCCCTGACGGGCACGCTGGACCCCAGGGAATCTGGACGGGGACAGTGCCCGGGGGCACCTGGGAAGCGGGAGAGGCTGTCAGCTCAGGAGTGGACTTAGAGCCAGGTCCAGCGCTGGATGGCGGCCACCAATCCTGGGGCCATCTGGTGTCCATCTGGCTGAATCAAGAGATTGGAGGACGTGGCGGGGGGCTCCCGGGCATCCTGACAGACAGGCTCCCTCTGCAGGACCCTGAGGCGCTAGGTGGCCTGGGAAGGGACCCTGACCGCTCTTGCTGCTTCTGCTGGCCCCTGGATCAGCTGTCCCCTGTGGGGCTCAGTGAAAGGGGCACCACAGGGCGGGGAGGGTGTCCTGTCCCCACGCCCAGCACCGAGCCGTCTCCTCGTGGCTCTGGATGGGCAGCACCTGGAATGGGCGCACTGGGCTCTGCGTGGAGCGTGGCCGGCACAATGGGCCCTTTGCAGGCAGCAGATGTGCCAGCGTCCCTTCCAGGCCCCGCCTCAGGTCCCACTTGGTCCCCAAGGCATCCTGCCCAAGCTGTCCCCTCCCAGAGGCCTGTGGGAGCTTTGGTCCGCAGGACACCCTGCCCTGGTCTGCCTCCCTAGGCGGCCGGCTCGCGGCCCACACCAGGCACCTGGGCTCCACTCCCTCGCAGGCCCACTGAGACCCCCAGCTTCTTCTCCCTGGCCTCCACGTGGGCCTAGTGCCGGGCTCTCTGCCTACAGAGGAGGGGCTCCAAGCAGAGAGCAGGGTGGGGGACAGACGCACAGCTGCACCCCTGCTCCCCTCTGGGCATTCAGGGCGAGGGCCAGGGCACAGCTGACCCTTCCCTCCCCTTCCAGTCGCTGCTGTTCCTCGGGCTGCTGGCCGCCATCTGCCTGGGCCTGAACCTCGCCTTCCTGGCGGCCTACCTGGTGTGCGCCTGCTGCTGCCGGCCGGACCCCGTGGTGCAGACCAAACAGCGCAGCTCCTGCTGCGTCACCTGGACAGCAGTGGTGGCCGGCCTCGTGTGCTGGTGAGTGGCCCCTTGCCCCGCCGGGGTGCGCCGCTCCATCTGCCTGGGCCCCGGCCACCTGGGCTTTACCCACAGCTGACTCGAGGCCGGGGCACCCCCTTCCTCCCCCACCTGCAAGCCTGAGTGACCCTCAGCTGTCCGGCCACCTTCCCCTGACCAAGCTCCTGCTACCTGAGGAAGCTTGTCCCTAAATGAACACCGTCCCTTTTCTGGCCAAGCATTGGGCATCGGATGCCCAGGGTGGCGACGGGGCCCCAGTTCTCCTGCCCCCTGAGTCGACCAGGTGACACTCCCAGAGGGGGGCCTCTGCTCTCTGCACCCCGTCCCCTCCCACCTGCCGCTGGCTCTGAGGTCAGGAGAGTCTGGCTCCAGCCCCAGGATCGATAGCTTTTAGTGCCTTGGGCCCTGGGGGAGGGGGAGCGCTCTGGGCCACCCGGGCAGCGTCCACACAGTGGCGTTCCGGGAGGAGTGGGTTCTTCTTGTTTTTGTATCTATAGTGGCTTTTCCAAAAGCCTAGTGTCCCCAGCCCCAGGTGCTTGTGGGGGGTGGGGACCCTCTGGGATGGGGTCCTTCACGCCTCCACGGCAGGGCTGGCGCCTGGGAGCAGGGACACCTGGGTTCCAACGTCCAGGTTGAGTTGGAACACGTTCTTATCCCAGAGCCCAAAGAGGTAGCCCCGGGGCAGGAGCATGTGGAAAGGACCCGGCAGCTGGGGCTTAAGTATCAGTTTTTTTTTTTTTCTTTTTGTACTGGGAGTTTAACCCAGGGGCACTTCGCCTCTGAGACACCCCCAAGCCTTCTTATTTTTTATCTGGAGACGGGGTCTGGTTAAGTTGTTTAGGGCCTCGCTAAGTTGCTGAGGCTGGCCTTGAACTTGTGATCCTCCTGCCTCAGCCTCCCAAGTTGCTGGGATTACAGGTGTGCACCGCGGTTCCCAGCTTAAATGAAACTTGAAGTGTTCCAGCCCAGGTTGGGAGTTCAAAGACTTGGTATCACCCTCCCCCCACCCCGGCCAAGAGGGAGAGCTCCTGAGAGGTGACTGGAATGTCAGATCCTCCTGCTGAGTGCGGGCAGGGGTGACCAGGGAGCTGGGACCCCGGGGGCAGGACACCAGCCGTGCTCTCTACACAGGATCCTCGGTCCCAGGAACTCAGACTTAAATAAGTAAATAAATAAACAAACCTGTCCTGCAGAGCACAGGCACTCCCAGAGTTCTGACGGGGCATGTCTGTAAACCCATTGTAACATGGAAGACCATCGTCACTGAAGACGCATGGCACACACCTACCCTGCCCACAGCCTGGCTCCCCCCCCGCCCACCTGGACCAGGCTCGGACACGCGCATTCGCCCCTCGAGGGCAGAGTCCCCGGACACAAAGCCTGTTTCACAGTCAGCGCCGCCGAGCTGTCGAACACCGCACTGGAGGTGACCAAGGGGCCGTGTGGGTAGGTCTTCGGGTCAGCAGGTGGAAAGTCTGCAGTAGGGGACCGTGTACTTTAGAACAGTCCAGGTGGCTCCCGGGATGGCCACGTCCCATAAGCAGTAATTGCCTGTGGTTGAAGGAAAACCCAAAGCAGAAGGCGAGTCTGTGGCGGGATTCGTTCACAGCCGTCTTCACATTCGTCCCAGGCAGGAGGGGACCTGGGACACAAAAACCAGGCACAGATCTGCCTTCTGATCCTGTGGCTCTGGGTCTATTTAGGGGAGACAGAGGCATGCACTTGTCTGATGTGAATCATGACAACTAGAGAGAGCCCTCTGAAGGAAAGGAGCTGGGTGGCCTCCGGAGTTAGGTGGCCCCGGGTAACGTGGGCACCGAGGCAGGGTGAGGAGGCACTAACTAGGCAAGGGTGGGGCAGGAGGAGCAGATACTTCCAAGCAGAAGGGAGTGGGACACGTGCCAAGGCCCTGTGGCCGGGGCGCAGAGGGCTGAGAGTGGCCGCTGTGGCTGGAGCAGAGAGCCGGTGAGGCCTGAGGGTGCCGCTGAGGGGTGAGCAGGAAGCAGCCATGGGGGGGGGGGCGCAGTGTGGTGATGGGACAAGACCCCAGGCCAGACAGGACCCGAGCCACGCAGCAGCTTGCAGGCTGCCTTAGGGATTTGTGTCTTTTATTTTTAGAAGAGTGGGGTTCACAGAGACATAGGGTGACCCCATCAGCCGGGTTTAAGCAGCAGCCAGACCCCCTGGAGCATTTAGAACAGAGGGGCTTGAGTGTGAAGAAGTGTGGGTGCAGGCGGTGGTGGGCAGCGTGGCCGATGGGCCGCCTGGGGCACGGGGAGAGGGGAGCCCTTTGGTGGGTGGGTGGGAGGTGAGCTGGAAGGAGCTGCTGGCGGTGGCCCGGGCTCTGGCGCAAGCACCTGGTCCCAGAGGAGGGAGGGGCTCGCTGCCCAGGAACCTGTGAAGCGTCCAGGGGGCAGGGTGGGGGCACAGTGTAGGAGGGAGACTCGAGGGTCACCAGGGAGGCCCATGCTGTGGCCTGGCACATGGGGACAAGGAGCCTGGCAGAGATTGGAAGAGGACCGGGGCCAGGCCTGGAGAAGGAGGACGCTCTGGGGACGGCCTGGGGGCAGAGAGCAGCTGGCCAAGGAGACAGGAAGGCGTGGCCAGGCAGGGAGAAGGCCACGGGCAGAGGCCGCTGGCCACACGTATCCGGAGGGGCTGGGGTTGGAAGGTGCCCTTGGGTCGTGGCGTGGGGGTCATCAGTCACCTTCGCTGGAGGGAGCGGCCAGCAGGGGAGGGGCGCCGAGGGAGCAGGAGTGTCAGGGGACACACCCAACTCAGCCCCCCCCCCCCCCCCCCCCCGGGACCCAGGGAGAGGGGTGGACCCAGGGAGAGGGATACTGTCCCTAGAGGAGCACGTGCCAGGGTCCTGGAAGGCGCAGGGAGGGGCGTGGCCTGCTCTGCAGGGCGGGGACTTGGGATCTGGGAAGGAGGGTGGCGTGGCACCCCCGGGGAGGCAGGGCCGGCAAACCCTTTATTCTGTCTCTTCTGTCCAGCAGATGGCTTCCCACAGCCCAGGCAGGACCTGTGACACCAGGAGGGACCCAGAGACCCTCCTTAGGGCAGGCTGGGGAGGCGAGGTGG